AAGTTACTTTTCTGTTGCCTGCCTTTCCTCGATCCTCAGAATGGGGATAGTAATAACACCTATCTCATAAGGTTATTTTGAGAATTTTTAAATATTACGTATGTAAAGTGCTTTGAACAATGACTGGCACATGGAAGTCACTACATAAATGCCAACTGTTGTATTTCAAGTTGGGTAAATCCTTTTCTTCTCTGGTTCTATTTTAATACCGAGCAGAGTAAGTTTGAGCGATAAGAATGGAGGCTCGAATGGGATAAAGACGGTGTCTGCCTTGATTGATCAGGACAGGCAATCCTGGGTGCTGAGGAACCTAGACAATCTCAAAAGAAGACGACCATTAGCAGAAATGTGAGTGTTTAGACCATGCCTGGGGAATAGTAAATATTCTAGTTTTGGTTGTTTATCTTACCAACCCTTCAAAGGCAAAGGCACTGGTTTCATCTTTGTTTCCGTAGGACCTAGCATGAGGCAGGTACAATGTTTGTATGTTGAATCAATGTGAAATGAGTCTGGAAAACTATCTCGGAAGCGTGTCACAGTTCCTGAAGTGTGTTGATCATCTGTGCCACTTGGGAAGTGTTTTCAAATACCTTATGCAGGCTGTACCTTGAATATTATGATTTAGTAGGTTTGGTATAGGGTTCAAGGATCTGTATTTTTTAAACCTGCCCAGAAGTCATTCAGATGATCACATTTGATAACCATTGCTGTTAGAGTCTTTAAATGCCTATGATGCCAGCCTAAGATGCCAGGCTGAGATACCTTATGTGGAAGCGCATGATGTTATTGAACAAGAGAATCATATTATCATGCTCTCCAAGCCCTTGCTACTCAAAGTGTGGTCTATGGACCAGCAAAATCTGCATCACCTTAGAGTTCATCAGAGACTCAGAATCTCAGAACCTAACCCCAGACCTACCAAACAACATCTGCATTTTAACAAGTTCCCCAGTGATTCTTATACACATTTGGGCCGTAGTTCTTAACCTTGATAGCATGGTAGAATCACTTGGGAACTATTTAAAATCCTAATACCCAGGCCACACTCTGAAAAAAGTAAATCAGAATCTCTGTGTTGATATCAATCATTTTAAAAGCTCCCTGGATGATTCCAATGTGCAACCAAAGTTGAGAACCCCAGCTCTAGCAATACTTAATTAAAATCAGTGTAAGATGAATTGGAGAAGGCCTGTTACACAAGTGTTGGGATAGACTGGATAACAGGTAATGATAGTCTGGAGAAGTAAAACATGGAAGGATCCACTTCACTGAATGGAGAGTATGCAGAGCTCAACCTCTTCCCCCATTTGTTTTTGTTGCAGTATTTTTTTTTCTAGCATCTGATTTTGGACTTTCTTCCTGCTGCCATCGTTTCCCATGAAAGAACAGAGTACTAAAGTCTTCAGGAGTCTAAAGGCTGAGGGGGCAAGGGAAAAGGGAAGGAGCCAGTTCTTCCTAAAATATTGGGCTTTTATCCTAGGGTGACGGGGATTCTAGGTTCAAGCTTCATGACCTGGGATTAAATTTTGTTGATGTACCTATCTTTGGCCACAATCCCTGTTCCACCGAATCAGATCCTTGTCAACAGTAGCATCCCCCAGAAATTCTGGGCTGTTAAGGAGAGCAGGGGACGGGAAGCTCTCCGCCAATTTAATAACAATGAGAATAATAATCACAAATAACACCTATATTGCTCTTATTAATGTACCAGGCATTGTTCCAAGCACTATATATATATATATATACACACACACACACACACACACACTCATTTAATCCTCACAATTATACGGGATGGGACCTATTGTTATCTCCATTTTACAGGTGAGAAACTGAGTCATGGAGCAGTCAAGGCTTTCCCAAGGTGACACGGTTAGTAGGAGGCAGAGTAGGGTACAAACCCAGGCAATATGACTCTGGAGATCATGCCTGTATGGCAGATGCGCCTAACTGCAGTTAACCTTAAGTATACCCTGAGGATGACCCTGGGTGCAGACGCACCTGAATGTGTGTCTAGTGTTCCAAGCGTGGCCAACCCAGAGATTCATTCCTTATCTATGAGGAACATCTGAGCCCCTGGCCCAGCCCTTGGAACATGGGCCATACAGGGGGCTAAGGCCCTTTGTTTCATGTGAAATGAATGTTGCCAGGTGGAGGTTGTTAGTGGGAGGGTGTAAGATGAAAGTGCTATATAAACTGCATGCTTTCTCCAGGCAGTGGTGGTTCTCCTGTCCAGCCTGTTGCCACTGGATCCCTCTTATGTAAGTTCCCCTCAACAAATCCTATGTCGTGTTTGTTGGCTCTTGGTCTTTGGCCTCTTGAATCTGGTGCTATCCTTCCTGAAGTCAATAGGGATCTGGCATGACAATGCCCTTAACCACTGAGATATGCTGCCTCCACTTACCTAAAAATTCCTGCAGGTGTGCACTGTATTCTCCTGTATTCACAACTCCTATCTCAGTGAAGGGCGTTAAAAGTTTAGAGGGAAGAAGGGAATTTTATATTTAAAAAACATAATTGCCTGTTATGTGCTAGTCACAATGTTAGCCACAGGGATACAGAAAGAAAAAAAAAAAAAGCCTCAACTGCAAGGAGGTCCCCCCACACAAGGAAGAGGCAGAAGAGTCAGTAAGTGAGCTATGGTGGGGGCACTCAGAGCACATGAGGAGCCCTGGCAACCTGGGAGCTCCGGCCAGGGTCCCTGCTTTGAGTCCTGGGGTTAATAAACTCAGTCTCTGAGTCAGACCAAAAGTCCTTACTTTGTCTTAGGGGCGCACAGCTGGGCCCACCCGTTTTGAGTCAACTAAACATTAGAGTATGAAATACAATTTGAAATGCAGCAGCAACAATCTTTTTTATTTCTCCTTTGGCAATGACTGGTGGTCCCTGTTAGATTCTCTTGTCCCTAGTTAGATGCTGAGGCGGCGAACCAAGCTTCAGTTAAACTTCCCTGGAATTACAGATTTTACAGAATCATGCAGACATGAAAGGTGACCCTGCTCACTTTCAGGCTTGATTCTGCTCAGCAATGTCCAAGTCAGTTGGCAAGGAAAGCTACTGGAGTCTGAACAGGCTACAATTCTGTTTATTTCTTTCATAAAAAATCATGGGCAAATGGATGAAAATCCAAGTTTTGGACAATGCAGAGGATCAGCTTTTAGCACTCACCTGAGCAGGATGTCAAGGCAGCCAGGACTTCTGTAGAAAAGGGTCGGCTCTGGCATCCGTGAGCGTACAGGGAGGAATGCACACGTGCATGTGTATGTACTTAAAGTACTGCCGAAGGCTCCTCTTGCTGTCTTTCTGCTACATACCCGGCCCCTTTAAACTAGATCTTTTCTTGAGAAAGGAAACATTACCAGTAGGCCTTCTCCCACTTCATGACATGAAATAGGAATTTTTAAAGCCCCATTCAAACATCAGGGAGCGGTTAACTCTTGATTATGAATATTTAGATTTCCTGTGTGGATATTATTATTTGCAACAAGCGTTTAATCCCAATAGTTTTTCCCTATCAGTCATTACATTTTTGAAGGGCCTCTCTTTCCCACAGGTCAGCGTTTACCTCAGCAATGGTAACTATTTATTATTTATTTTGTTTTTTGAGATGGAGTCTCGCTCTGTCGCCTGGGCTGGAGTGCAGTGGCACAATCTTGGCTCACTGCAAGCTCCAACGGTAACTATTTAAATTTGTATTAATCTAAGAAAAACCACAAGAATAGGTTCATTGCCTTTCAACCTCCTCACCAAAAGTCACAATGCATTCTGAAGCCATATATACATACATACATATATATTATATATATATATGAGACAAATATGTATATTTGAGACAGGGTCTCACTCTGTTGTTCAGGCTGGAGTGCAGCAGCACATGATCATGGCTCACTGCGGCCTTGACTTCCTGGGCTCAATAGATCCTCCCATCTCAGGCTTTCCAGTAGCTGGGACTATAGGCGTGCACCACCAAGCCTGGCTAATATGTGATTATTAAATTATCCTCTGCCTTAACTATTTATTGCTTTATGTTGTGAGTAATGGATAATTGCCATTGAGGGTATCTGAAACATGAGACATCAGCCTCAATCCCCACCGCTTAAGTGTTCAAATGACTTTACCTTAAACATTCACCATCCTCCCACTTACAATAATCTCTTGCCTACTCTGCCCTCAAGGTAGTTCTGTTACAGAGAGTAACAACTCTGAATTCTTCAGGGCCCTGTAATAATGTGTGTCATCTTTAGCATCAGTTTGGGAAGTAATACACTTAATGTCCCAATTTGAAACATTTTCTGCCATCCTGTTTCATTCTATGCACTCACATGCCCCCCACAATGACATAAAGGCACAGAACAAGAATCTAAACCTCTTCTTATCAACAGTGGAATACTTTTCATAATCACTATACACATTTATTTAGGAACAGTGAGATTCCTTTGAATCTCAACAGTTTCCTAGATATGCTGTCTTTTTTTTTTCTTTTTTATTATGTTACCATTTCTGGAATGGCTTCATGTTACATCTCTACACACTGGCCCACAAAAAAGGAGACTCTAGAGATAATGTTCCCAAAGAAGTTAACAAAGATTCCCAGACCAGGCAGGGCATGGTGGCTCACACCTATAATCCCAGCACTTTGGGAGGCCAAAGTGGGTAGATCAGGAGGTCAGGAGTTCAAGACCAGCCTGACCAACATGGTGAAACCCCATCTCTACTAAAAATACAAAAATTAGCTGGGCATGGTGGTGGGCGCCTGTAATCCCAGCTACTTGGGAGGCTGAGGCAGGAGAATCACTTGAACCCAGGAGGCAGAGTTTGCAGTGAGCCGAGATCACACCACTACACTCCAGCCTGGGTGGGAGCGAGACTCTGTCTCAAAAAAAAAAAAAAAAAAAAAAAAGTTCCCAGCCCATGTGGGAACTCTGGAAGCTAGCACAGTATTTCACACTTTGGTATTTTCCCCCCCTTTTTTTTAAAGAAGATAAAATATTACAGAGACATTTTCAAAAATCACACCTGAGTTAAACATTTTGCTGGAAAATTCCACATTAAGGAGTTAAGAACATAATGCAAAAAAATGGGAAAGGGCTATATACAGGTACTTTGCCACCGTCATTATTGTGTGTTTGCTCTTGTATTCTTCCTTTTCTGCCACCAGGAGAAAGGAGAGGGGACAGGATAAAGAGAAACACAGAGAGAGAGGGAAAGAACAGGCACTCCTGAGCCCTAGGCAGACATGGACAGACAGAAGGGCACCGGTGGGCAGCGCAACATGCCCAGAGCACCCACCAAGGGCAGCTCTTTTACGCCTTCTGCAAAAAGGAGGGGACCTGAAGGGCACAATAATGAACGGATTTGGTTGTAGAAAAGGGGGCGAGGTTAAAAAGAAAATGGGGTGAGATGAAGATTCCGTCAAAAAACTTAGCTGTACAGAGAAAACATCAAGGCTTTGGTGGAGATATCAGATTCAAATCTTTTCACAGATTTTGGGATCAGTTCAGGGATTGTGGCCAAGTTCAGAGTCAAAACTATTATCTCCACTTCCGGTGTTTGGCACTCCAGCCAAATGGTTGTCCCCAGAAGCCCACAGATGAGTTGGAGATTAACAGCAAGGAGTCTTTTCTCTGAAAGACCATTGCCACAGTGAAGCTGACTAAAATACTTGGAACTAGAAGGCAAGGGCATAGGCAAGGAAGGTGAAAACGGTAAGCTCCTAGGAGGGGCTATATATTTCAAGAGCATTGGGAGTCTGCACTTGGTTCAATCACAGTTTGGATCTCCGGAGGCCCTTGCTCCTGAAGAAGGCAAGAGTCTGGATTCATTGATAGTGGGGATTTTCTTGCACTCTTCGGAAAGCAATCTGTCTGTATATAGAAGGCATGATTCCCTTCCTTCCAGGCGGAATACAGGGCCCGGTGGAGTCGGAGAAACTTTTTGGTCTCAGTGGAGGTAGGTGGGATGATTCCATCGGTACCAAGATCTGGAAGGAAGAAAGAAGTCAATCCTAAAGCTAGTAATGTGATGGCGTAAGATGGGAATGGGGAGTGACTGTTAGCAGGTATAGGGGTTTTTGGGGGGAGGGGTAATAAAAACATATTGGAATTAGATAATGCTGATGGTTGCACAATCTTGTGAATATACTGAAAACCACTGAACTGTACACTTTAAAATGGTGAATTTTCTGGTATATGAATTATACCTCGAAGCAATTTTTTAAAGCTAGTAATGTATATTATATGGTTCTCTCTCTCTCTCTCTCAGTAGGGGTAGGTGAGGAGCTCCATTGTTTCGGGCTATGCAATAATTGGCCAATAAGAGCTGGCTGCCTTGCTGAACTGCCTGGATTTGGACAGGTGGGTTCATCTTTTCTGGCGAACTTAGGTCTGTAACCTACACATCTCTGTTTTGTTCTGAATCAAGGCAGAATCTCTCTCTCTCACAAGGCATCAGCTCTGAGAACACTTTTTTTTTTTTTTTTTTTTTTTTTTTTTGAGACGGAGTCTCGCTCTGTCGCCCAGGCTGGAGTGCAGTGGCCGGATCTCAGCTCACTGCAAGCTCCGCCTCCCGGGTTTACGCCATTCTCTTGCCTCAGCCTCCCGAGTAGCTGGGACTACAGGCGCCCGCCACCTCGCCCGGCTACTTTTTTGTATTTTTTAGTAGAGACGGGGTTTCACCGTGTCAGCCAGGATGGTCTCGATCTCCTGACCTCATGATCTGCCCGTCTCGGCCTCCCAAAGTGCTGGGATTACAGGCTTGAGCCACCGCGCCCGGCTGAGAACAATTTTTAGAATAGATTCTTTGCCTCATGAACTGAAGCCTAGGAGGCTGCCTTCCTCACTGCATCCCAGGTGGGAGTGGGGGACAGGAATTGGCACCACTTCCCTCTCTCCCTGTGTCAGCCATGCTTGAAGCCCAGGGTTTTCTTTGTGCCTAAGCTCTAGGCTCACATCAGAACCTCCTGAAAACTGGGTTCCTCGCATGAAGCCCAGCAAAGGACCTGGCCCTTTCTGACATGAGTGTTTGGAAATTTCCACCCTCAAAGTAAGGATGGAAATTTTGGCTTTGTTGACATCAGCTCCTTGCCAGGATGGCTCACTGACTGAAGCTTCTTTTTAAAATCCCTGCTCGCTAGGGATAAAGTCCAGTCTGGCTGTCGCTCTGTCCTCTCTCTACCACCCCATTCCTCTTTTCCAATCCTATCTATGACAAGCTTTCTTTCCCAAGGCATGGGCCCAGCTTCTCACATGTCCCTTGGCCCTGCTGGGATGCCTCTGCACCCTCCCCTCCACCTTACCCTGAAGAGTTAAAACTGGAGGCGGAGTTCACTGATGCTTTGGAGTTATTTTGAGATGCAGTGGGGCTGCTGGCGTGGAGTCCTGAGCCAGGAGATGAAGGCCTGCTGTTGTTCCCAGGGGAACAGGATGACGTTACTGAGGATAAGGAGAGGCAAAAACAAGGGGAAAATAATACTGCTGGATCCCGGGACATTGGGACATAGCCCCTCAGACACAAATTTCCTGGTGTAACCCCAAAGGGACCTCACCCTCTCCCTACCCACACCCACCTGACTACCTCCTGCCTCATTAGCATCAACTTCTGCCCACACCCAGAGGGGCTCTCATCCAAATGCTCTCTACAGCCCAGGCCCTGGAGAGTGGTGTGGCTGGTTCTGCAAGTCTAAGACTTGCCAAATGCAAGGACAGATGCCAAAATCATCCTACTCTGGGACACACCCAAGGCTGGGCACATGCAGCCCCGGACCAAGAGGCGGGAGGAGAAAAAGAACAAGAAGGAAGAGAGGAGGAAAGAAAGGCAGTGCATAGGGGAGAAAGAGAACTTGAGGCCACCATGAAAGATTGCCAGCTGCTCTAGTTCTCCTGACTCCACCAAGAAAAGGTGCATGGTTTACTAGAAACTAGAGTAATGAACTGAGCTCATGGCTCATGCCTGTAAGCCCAACACTTTTGGGAGGCCGAGGCAGGAGGGCCGATTAAGCCCAGGAGTTCAAAACCAACCTGGGCAACATGGCGAAACCCAGTCTCTACAAAAAATACAAAAATTCGCCAGGTGTGATGACATGCACCTGTAGTCTCAGCTACTCAGGAGGCTGAGGCAGGAGGATCACTTGAGCCCAGGAGTTCGAGGTTGCAGTGAGCCATGATTGTGTCACCGCATTGCTTGGGCAACAGAGCAAGACCCTGTCTCAAAAAACAAAACAAAACAAAAACAAAAAGAGCAATGAACTGGGAGTGAGGGGACCTCAGCCCTGTCTTGGTCCTTGGCCATCCACTCAGCAGCTCTGCGGCTGCTGATTTGTTTCACCTTCCTGAAACTCATTTTCATCCTCTGTGAAATGGCAGATTTTGTATCTGGATTAACTCTTGTGTTTGTGTTTCCCAAACTGTGTTCTATGAATAGGGTGGCATATATTTTATTATCCAAACTAAGACCCTAAGACACTTTGAAAAGTGGAGGGGGCCGAGTGCAGTGGCTCACTCCTGTAATCCCAGCACTTTGGGAGGCCGAGGCAGGTGGATCACCAGAGGTCAGGAGTTCAAGACCAGCCTGACCAACATGGAGAAACCCTGTCTCTACTAAAAATACAAAAAATTAGCAGAGTATGGTAGTGCACTCCTGTAATCCTAGCTACTGGGGAGGCTGAGGCAGGAGAATCGCTTGAACCCAGGAGGCAGAGGTTGCAGTGAGCTGAGATTGCGCCATTGCACTCCAGCCTGGGCAACAAGAGTGCAACTCTGTCTCAAAAAAAAAAAAAGAAAAAAAAGACAAAGATTAAAAGAAAAATAGAAAAGTGGAAGGAAGTACTATTGATAATTATGTCAGGACATGAAGCAGACACTGGGACTATCCTGGCCACCCTGGGCATGTGATCATCCTGTCTAGTTCTTTGAAATAATCAGGTACTTTTTGAGGAATAGAGTATACTTTAGGAAGCCTTGCCTTCCTTGGGCCTTCCATACAGTTCATTTTGGAATGTTATGCACCTGAGTGCTTAGAAGTGCTGCAGTTAGAACAAAACAAAACAACAACAACAAAAAAATACGCTTGTTTAAACTGTGCATACTCAGCATTTTCCAAATTTACTTGATCATAGAACCCTTTTTTCCCAACACAGATTTTAATATCCTTTGAAATGCATTTATGGGATCCTGACTTAGGTAGATACCTTTCCGTTCTAATATCCCATGTTTTAAAGGAATTCTGGTGTTATTCAGAAATCTCATTTTAAAGCTCACCTGTTCCAGGCATGGTACTGTGGACAGGAGGGACAGAGAGGGGACCCAGAGACCCTGAGGGAGATACCTGAAAAACAACAGAAGCTTGTAAATGTCCATTTCTGCTCCCTTCTCCAACTTCAGACCATTCTCCAAAGACAGTAGGTCCCAGACTCTACAGAGACCAAGAGCTTGGCTTCCTTGGTTATTTCCTAGCCCCAAACCTACGCGCCATCCTCCTTTCTATGGGAAGGCCTCTGGACCACATACTGGCATCCAGAACCAGGTCCAGTCTGCTCCGGAAGTTCCCTGGTGTCGACAGCCCCTGACAATGTGTATTGCCTGATAAAGTTTCTTTGGCACTGCCAAGCCGAAGGCTGCCTTGCCTGAGAGCCCCGGAGGTGAGCAAGACAAGCCTCCTGGGCCCTGCAGTGGCAGATACTGCTGGTTGCCTGCTGTTTCCTGGTCTCCATTGCTTTTTCCCTAAAAGAACCCTGCTTTTGCTTAGGACAGCAGGGTTGCTCAGCCTAGCAGCCTCTTTCGGGCTTTCCCACTCTGATAGATGAATGGAGCATGGACTCTCCAGAGGTAACCGGAGGTACTGAACTTTGGTCTCTGAAGATTTTTATTTTGCCCTGGAGACCTCACAGCATCATCAGCTCTGAGATTAGAAAGGGACCTGGGATAATTTTGTTTACCCTCCCATGTAATTCAGGACCCTCCTCCTCACTGTTACTATCCTAGAACAAGATGTAATAGAAAGAATAGACTTTGGAGCCCAACAGGTCTGGGAGTAAGACAACTCCACAACTATCTGTGTGACTTTGGGCAAGTTATCTAACCCCACTGAGATTTGGTTTTCTCATCTGTAAAATAGTAGCAATACTTCCATTATATATTTTAATTAAGACATAATGAGATAATGTCTGTAAATCTTCCAACCCAACAGCTGGCAAAGAGTGTCCCAGCTTGTTAAATGCTAGTTCTCTCCCTTTCTGGAGGAAGAAGCTATCAACTGCTATATATTTCTAGATATTATTCAACTCTTCTTTTGAGCTAAAATCTGTGTATTTTCACTGCCCCTTATTCTTCTCATGCTAACAGGGGAATCTTTGACCAGGTGTTTGCAAAGGCTATTGAAAGGTAGTTCTGTTCTCTCCACTTTGGAAGATCCCATCCTAACAGGATGCGGCATGTACTCATTTCCTCATTAATCAGAAATGGTTTCCCTGTTTTCATTTACTTTTCCTTATACAATGAGCCTCCTCAGTAAGCTGAGGGCCTGTGAAGGGTGGAGACGGGTGTGGGGCACAGGTTGGGAGGGGTGGCAGAGTGGTAAGAGATGCTATCAATAATCTCCCTACCTCTTCTCCTCCTCTCCCTGCTGTCACACCCAAGACATGTGTTGTTGTTGTTGTGGTTGTGGTTGTTCTTGTTGGTTTGAGATGGAGTCTCTCTCTGTCACCCAGGCTGGAGTGTAGTGGTGCTATCACGCACGGTTCACTGCAACCTCTGCCTCCTGGGTTCAAGTGATTCTTCTGTCTCAGCCTCCCAAGTAGCTGGGATTACAGGCACCCGCCACCACGCCCAGCTAATTTTTGTATTTTTAGTAGAGACAGAGTTTTGCCATGTTGGCCAGGCTGGTCTTGAACTCCTAACCTCAGGTGGTCCTCCCACCTTGGCCTCCCAAAGTGCTGGGATTACAGGCGTGAGCCACCGCGCCTGGCTTTGTTGTTGTTTTTAAATAAATGATAATGTATTTGGTCATTGCGGCCAACTTGTTTCCTTCTGGAAACAGGCTAGGCATATACAAACAGACATATATATGGTTCCCCCTTTTTTATTTTCTAGATATATTGTAGCATTCTGCCCACACTGATCTGCACCATTTTGCCTTCCCACCTGCTAATCATTTTATTCCAGAAGCAGAAGAAACTATGTCCTAGTCCCAAGGGACTGTCTCAATGAGACCTAAAGATAGGATCAGAAAATGTTCTCTCTCCTTTCCCTTCATGACATCACCAGTGTTAGTGTAACTATTTATTTAATGTCCTTCACTGCCATTAGGCTGTAGACTTCAAGAGAGCAGGGTAACGCCTGTGTGGTTCACTGCCACACCCCCAGTGCTTTCTACGGTCCCTGGAACGTCATAGCTGCTCAGTAAATATGTGTTGAATGAAAGCTGATGAGGAACGGGGCCCCTGCTTGGCTCCCTCGGCCCCCTGCATTGCTCATCATGTTGATGTCCTGGGTTGGTATTGAACCAAAGGGAGAACCTACTACTTCTCATCTGCTCTAAATAAAGTCCAATCTTGCAAGATTCCAAAGTTCCTATGACATGACCCAAGTTTCCTAACAAGGCCTACGATGCCCGACATAATCCAGCCCCTGCCTACCATTCCAGCCTCCTCATTCACACCCGCACTGCCTGGTGTCCAGCCCATTCTGGCCTTCTATGCTTCTTTCCGCCTACCCCACCCCACCACCAACCTGAGAACCTTTGTACATGCTATTTCCTCTACCTAGAATATTCTTCCCTCCCCTCACTCCTCCCTGCCTCCCCAGCTCAGACACTTTCCCTGTTAATATCAATGGTGACATTCATTCTTCTGGTGTCAGTGTAAACATCATTCCTCAGAGAAGCTCCTGACACTCTGGACTAGGTTAGGCACCTCATATACCTGTACCTCTTCTCTTAAGCCTTCATCACAAATAGCATTTGTTTAGTATCTGTTTTTCTGCTACACTGTGAGCAGGGATCACGTGTGCTGTTCACCACTGGAGCCCCAGTACCAAACATATAGTAGGTGCTCAGTGAATGCTTAAGGAAGAAATAATGAGTGAATATCATCTTGCCTCCAACTTAGCATGTTTAATGATCCCTTACAGAGTTTAGGGTACTTCAGCATCCATGGCCCATTATGATCCCACACTCATCAGCCCCTCTAATTTTAATCATGAACCCCTTGCTCTAGCCAGACTGAAATGCTTGCGATTTCCCAAATGCATCATGTTGTTTTATAATTCCATGCCTTCAGGCTGGGCGCGGTGGCTCACACCTGTAATCCTAGCACTTTGGGAAGCCAAGGCGGGCAGATCACTGAGGTCAGGAGTTTGAGACCAGCCTGGCCAACACGGTGAAACCCCGTCTCTACTAAACATACAAAATTAGCCAGGCTTGGTGGTGGGTGCATGTAATCCCAGCTACTCAGGAGGCTGAGGCAGGAGAATTACTTGAACCCAGGAGGTGGAGGTTGCAGTGAGCCTAGATCGCACCATTGCACTCCAGCCTGGGCAAAAAGAGCAAAACTCTATCTCAGAAAAATAAAAATAATAAAAATAAATAAAAAATAAAAAACCTCCATGCCTTCTCACAGGCTGTTCCTTCTGCCTTGTACACTACTCTTGCTAATTACTAATCTGTTCTCCAAACAAATTAGATATTCACCCTCCCGGGCCCCATTCTGATTTGGGCGTCTTTCCTCTTGTTTCCCAGGGCACTCCTATGGGGCTCATTCCTGCCCAACACTCCTCACATCTACTTGGTTGTAGTTTCTTGCCTTTTCTGGTCCCTCCTTTTCAGTTTCTTCCCTGATGCTCTTCCTTTGCCCATCTCGCGAAAGCTGGTGGCAAGGTCTTTGCTCTTTGCTTCCTCTACATAAACTCCATAGGCGAGTTCCTCCTCACCCAGGATTTCAACCACCACCTGCACACTTGTGACTCCCTAGTCCGTGTCTCCATCCCAGCCTTCCAGTCTCACTTCCAGACCCATAATCTCAAGTGCCCAAGGACATTCCCACATGGGTGTCCTGCAGCCTCGCTGTGCATCATGATGACATGAGAACTGAAATCATCACTTCTTGCCACTCCCAAGCCATCTCCTCCTGGTTTGCTTGTTCCGTAAATGGCAATACCATCTACCCAGTCAGCCCAGCCTGAACGCCAAGAGTCATCGCAGAGGATCCCCTTTTCTTCTCCCTGCCCCCATCCAGCTTTCCATTCATTAACCAAGACCTTCTAATGATTTCTGGAATCCCTCCCACCCTCTTCTTTCCTCCCTCCTGGGGTTGCTTTGCCCTCAGTCTTTCTCTACTGGCTACCTGCAGTCCCATCCTAACTGGCCTCCCTGAAACCCATCTTGGGCCTCTTTATCCTGCAGTCCTTTATCCTGCAGTCAGAGTGATCATTCAAAAAAGAGAAAATTATCATGCCAATATCCTGTGAAAATCCTTCAGTGATTCCCCCAAACCTTCAGTTCCTTAGCATTGTGGACAATCTCTGCACAGTCTGGCCCTTCTGATCTGTCCAGCCTCATCTTTCAACACTCAACCACTTGCAGTTCTGTGAGCTTGCCACACTGTCCCTGCCCCTGGGAGAGCTCCACCCACATTTATTTGCCTCTCATTCCTCTTCATCCTTTAGACTCAGCTCAGGTATTAATTATCTCCTTGGAGAAGCCTGTCCTAAACACCAGCTCCCAAGGCTGGTTAGCTGCCGCTCCTAAGTTCTCCTGAAGAAATGATCATGCTGTTTTCCATTCGTTTATTTACCTGCTCCTCTGCTAGGCAGTGAGGTCCTCTGGGACAGGGAACAAACAATATTTATCTTTGTATCCCCAGCACTTGGCACAATATATAGAAGGTAGTCGGTAGCTGGTTGGTGAAAGAATCAACAATGGTGTAGTTTTGGGGAAACAGCTGTGTTCCTCCCTGACAAGGCTGCATTTCACCCATCTTACAGTGCTGAAAGACTGAAGGGCAGCATCGTTCTCCCCAACTCCCTTAACCTTCAACCATCATCATCCCCAGAGAAGAAGCTTCCCACCCCCACCCTCCAGGTACCATTTCTCCCTGCATGGAAAAGATATTTCCTGCCCCCTAAACTTCATAGGCTGCCTAGAACTTCAAGTTGTTCCCAGCCCTGGCTTCTCCCTTGAACTCCAGAGTCACAGATATAACTCCTTCATACTTACTCTCGGATGCCTTGTAGGTATGTCCAACTTAATGTGACCAGCCCCAAATTCTTAGCTTTTTTCCTTGAACTTGCTCTTCCTGCAGTTTTCATCATCTCAAAAAAATGGCAGTGCTTTCCAACGCACTGCTCAGGCCAAAACCCTTTTAATCATCTTTGCTTCCTTTCTTGTATTCCGTATCTGAGCACATCAGGCTGCTCCACCGTCAAAGTCTAGCCAGAATGCAACTGCTTCTCCTCACCTCCATGGCCACCACCCTAGGCCAAGCCTCCATCACACAGCCTGACCACTGTCATTCTCCTAACTGGTCTCCGGCTTCCACACAGATGATTCCCCACGTAGCAGCCCGTGTTAGCCAGCTCAGCCTTCTCTGGCTAGAGCTCTCCAATGGCTTCTCATTTTACCCAAACTGAAAGCCAGGGGCCTTTCAATGGCCTCTAAGACCTTGGGCGCTCTGCTTCTTGTTTCTTCTCTGACTTCTTCTCCTACTTTTGGTCCCCTTTCTCATTCTGTCCCCAGCCACACTGGTTGCCTTGCTGTTTCTTAAGCATACTGGATCTTTTCACTTGCTAGGCCCTCTGTCTAGAACATTCTTTCCCCCAGATATCCACATATTTAATTCCCTGACAACTCTAGGTCTCTGTTCACACACCCTTATCAGGGAGAGCCTCTCTGACCTCCCTATTGAAAGAGCATCTCCCCGCTATCCCCTTCTATTCCCTCGCCCTTCTTTAGTGTTCTTTATACTATATTCTATACAGCATCTCTTTGCTTATTTATTTACTGGGTGCTCCCCTTCTTCCCTGCAGCCACCACTTTCCCCTCCAAGCATCATGTCCCTCCAGTTCTTGGCAGACAGCTTGGTTCCTGGCCACTCACCAGCCGGGAATTGTAGACAGGTGGTTTGATGGGTGTGGCCACAGGGCAGTTGATCCGCTTCTCCTTTTGGCGTCGGTTGCAGAACCAGACTCTCACCACCTCCTTCTCCATGGACAACTGCTCTGCAATCATGGAGATCTCCTCCGAGCTGGGTTTTGGGTTCTATAGGGACCGAAAGGACAGAGTATGGTCAAGAAAAGGGAATCAGGGGTGGGGAACAGAGGTCCCAAAGAAACAGGATACAACTATACATGGATCAAAAGCTTTAGAGTCAGACCTAGGATGAAATACTGGCTTTTTCACTTACTATATGTCCTTAGGAAACTTCTTTAACCTCTCTGAGCCTGTCTTATCATCTATGAAATGAGAATAATCATGCCCACCACATAGGATTATTGTGGGAATTAAATGAGAAAATGTGTGTAAACTGCCAAGCACAGGGCCTGACACAAAGTAGGGTTTCCATAGATGTAGGCTGTCTTTCCTTTGTTCATGAGTTCGGAGGAGAGGAGTCCATGCATGAGTTACGTGGGGCAGGCAGAGTCCCCAGAGCTGCTGCTCCCCTCTGTGTTCTTCCTTATAATCTGATAATCTGATGTCCTTCTCCCTGTCATTTCTTTTTTTTGTTTTTTTTGAGACGGAGTCTCGCTCTGTTGCCCAGGCTGGAGTGCGATGGCGTGATCTCTGCTCACTGCAACCTCCACCTCCCAGGTTCAAGCATTTCTCTCTGCTTCAGCCTCCCGAGTAGCTGGGATTACAGTCATGCGCCACCACGCCCAGCTAATTTTTGTATTTTAAGTAGAGATGGGGTTTCACCATGTTGGGCAGGCTGGTCTTGAATGCCTGACCTCAGGTGATCCACCTGCCTCGGCCTCCCAAAGTGCTGGGATTACAGGCATGAGTCACCGCCGCCTGGCCTGCCTTGTCATTTCTTCCTGTCCTCCTGCCTCAAAGCAGGAAATGAGAAAGCTAAAACACATGGACCCATCAGGACTGTGGCACAGCAATACATGCTACATGGGTGCCACTCCCTTGTTCTGGTCCCTCGCACCTGGTCTTTAGCCCCAGCCACTTTCCCCCACTCCTACACCCTCCCTTAACCTTGCCACTCTAGGAAGCCTAAAAAGAAGGAAAAGCCAGTTGTTGTCATTCGGCTAGCTGGATGTGGGCACCAAATCTTTGAGCCAAATATGTGAGGAATCTGCCGGAGGGACGGCAGTCCTGGAGGCCTGGGGCCTTTGGAGATGTGTGGTACCCATGGCGGCTCTGGAGGCTGGGATCTAAGGGAGCCTGGCTAGGTGCTGGTTAGGCCACATCTGTTTCTCAGCTTGCACAGGGCTTACAGCTTCCACTGGCTCAAAAATATGCTTTTGCTACAAGTTCCAAAAAATGTAGGTGTATAACATGATGACAAGTATTTAAATGTACACAGAAAAGAAGAGTAGAAGGAAATGAGGTCAGATGGCATTTGGTGATGAATATTCTTTTTCTTTCTACTTCCTTGTACTTTCCAAATTGCTTACAATAAGCATTTATTATATTTATAATTTGAAAAACATAAAATGTACTGCACAGAAAATAGAGAACTTATATACAATCCCCTGACTTTACTCCCTTTACTTCAGCTGGATACGGAGATACATTGTGTTCTGGGACCCTACAGCCAGTTCTTTAAATCTCCCAGTGAGAAAAACAGAGTCCTAAATAGATGTCAGGGCAAGAAGGGTCAGTGGAGGAGGAGGTTCCTGGAACCTGAGATGGCGAGCAGCTTTGCACTCCAATACCTGGGGGCCTGGAGTGGGATAATGTGTTTTCTGATTGTGTCCCAGGGCAGGTCTGAGGTGCTGAGGGGCTGGTGCCAAGCGGCCTGTGCCGTGTCTGCTCCCCCTACCTGTATGAGGCAGCCCACCCATGCCCACCCGAAGGTGCTGCTCACATCTTGAAACCTCTTCTCCAGAGTCAGGCGGATGTTGGTCTCGATGCTGGTCCGTTTCTTTCTCTTCCTTCCAAATACTTCACTGAGGCTGGGGTAGGAGCTGGGCGTGCTCACTGAGGGGTCTGACGGAGAGGACTCTGCGGGGACACGAAGGAACAGAGGAAGCTCAGAGAAGGGGATGAGTGGCTGGTGCCTTCATGGATTTGAGGTCCAACAACCCTTCCCGATGGGCTCTGCAGTGGCATTTTCAGGGGCAATCCCCTCCCCCAGCAGGGAGCCCAGAACAGACCAAGAATCCCACTTCTTTTCGTTGCGCAGGGCAAAGGCCCTCCGTGGCCCTCCATTGCCCCCCATGGCCTTCTGTGGCCCTCCGTGACCCTCCGTGGCCCTCTGAGGCCCCCACAGCAGTGTCTCCAGTGTTTGGGGTCATGGCTGAGGGATGTCCAGGCATCGGTGGCACATGTGGGTGTAAGTGGACACTGGCAGGACTCCTATGAGTAACACTGGTGAGGCTGCTGTTTACAGATATGCCTGGATGTGAATACTGAGCGAAATGTGAAATGGGATTTGGAGCCAAAAGCAATGGCACTTCGTGGCAGACTGTTGGTGTTGGAGGCATTTTCGTGCCAGTGCCAATGTTTGAGCTAAGGCTGTAGGGGCCATAGGAGGGATACCCCCGAGGAAGGATTCAGGCATCTGATGAGGACTAGAACTGGTCACAGGGCCCTTCTCCAGAGATTCGAAGACCTTCGGATCATTTCGCTCGTTTCAGTGCTTCCATAAAGGCTGTCTAAGGGGCAGCCCGTGGGGGGAACTTCCTGCCCCCTCCCATGCTTGTGTGTAGAGGCCCTTCCGTGGGAGTAACAGCCCTGGCTGGCTGCCCCACCCTTTCCTCCCTCTCCAGTGTAACCACCAATCCACGTGAATCTACTGAATAGAGCCCAGCCCTGGAGACTGGCTCATTCCCTCTCTCTGCCTAGGCTGGCGGTTCTCAACCAGGGGGGACTCCGCATCACCACCACTCCCCCTGGGACATTTGGCAATGTCTGGAGAGATTCTTGGCTGTTTCAACTGGGGGTGGATGCTACTGGCAACTAATGGGTAGGGACCAGGGATGCTCAAAACATCCTGCAATGCATAGGCCAGTCCCTGGCAACAAGAATGACCTGGCCCAGGATGTCCATAGTGCCAAGGTTGAGAAGCCCCATCTTATGCTAGTCCCTGCTGCCATACTCTTCCGCTCATTATTCCAAACGTGTGGTCCCTTGGCTTATACCCTTGATCTCCTGGAATGCCTCCCAGCCACCACCCCTCACTGAGTCCTCCCACAAACCCCACCCCTGCAGTCAGGCTTTCCTGACCAACCTGGGTTGCAGTAAGTCCCTGTCTGCTGAAAACCTACTCGAGAACTAGCCAGGGAAAGACCCTGTGTCATGCCTGTGGTCTCCACCTCCCAGTGAGACCCTAGAGGCTCCATTGCTGTTTCCCTGACCTAGACTTATTCCAGACAGCAATCTGCATAAGTGTGTCTGCTCTGCAGACCCAGACTTTGTCGCTGGCACGTTGTTCTAAGGTCTACGCTGAGTGGGATGGGGTAGGAATTGAATGGGGGCAAATCCTGATGGACACAGACCTAAATCCACATCCTTCTGAGGGCTTCTCAATAGTCAAGCTGACACTTTCATCTACACTTGCCTGTGCCCTGTGTCTTGTTTCTCCATCGGCTCCAGTCTCAGGAGAAGAAAGGGGTGTTAGGTATCAACTCCCAAAAGCCCCAACATGACAAGTCACTGGCCCTTCCCTGCAGAGCCCTCTAGGGCCCCTGGCATCTGTGTTTGTGAGGCCTACCTGCATCATTCAGCCACTTCTCCAGCAGGGGCTTGAGCTTGCACATGTTCTTGAAGCTCAGGTTGAGGGCCTCAAATCGCGAGATGGTGGTCTGGCTGAAGTCGTTGCCATACAGCTTTCCCATCGCCAGCCCCACATCTCCCTAAGCGTGGGGACCGAGGGGGAGGAACATGAGAGGCGGCCTCCTCCTCTTGTTTGCCCACATCCTGCATGGTCCTAGCATCGATCACACAGCCAGCCTGAACCTTCGAGTGCTCACCCATGCTCAGCTGCTTTCCAAGTCTCCTCCCTCTAAGGTGAAGAATCGGTTTCTTTCTCTCCTTAGACTCTGAGTGGACCATGCCCATGTGCTCGGGAGAGCCAGCCCCTTTTCCACCTCTCATTCTCCTCCACCAGCAACGTCCTCAATTTCCCTACCAATGGCGACTGTGCCCTATTCTCAGAGAACTCAGGGACACGATGAGCTGGCCCCAAACACATCGAGCCTCTGGTCGCTCTTGAAACCTGCACTTGGGAAGCCCAGTCTCCAGCCGCTCAGCTCAATTTCTTCTATCTTTTCCCCTAAAACCAAACCTGTGTGAAGCCCAGCTTAATGCGCCTCTGCTTGAAGGTCTTGGCAAACTTCTCCAGTTCTTCAAGGTCACTGGGCTCATCGGCCCCTCCAGAGCTGGGTAGATGCTTGGACACCGGGAGATGCTGGGATGCTTCCAGGTGGGGTTCTAAAGAGGATCCTGGCAGCCCAGGGCGCCCAACTGCCTGATAGGAAACACGCCAAGCAGATCCACCACAAAGATCAATAAATAACAATTTCTGATTTTTTTTTTTTTTTTTTACTAATAGGCCCACTTAGAGGATGACAGATCCCTGGATACACCCTGGGTACATTTGAGTCCTATTTTTTTCCAATGGCATGGAAGTAGAGATTGAAGTTTCTATGAATGTATAGCAAATAACTGGAATATCTGGGTAGAAACATCAGGAGTGCAGGATAGGGAGGTGGCCTGAGTTTAGACTGTGACTCACTATTTGAGTCTTAGCAGGTTACTTCCTCCTTTCAGTTTTCTACCATAAAAGGAGCTAGCAGGGTTGTTTACAAAGATTCCCAAAACAAAGCACAGAACTGGACCAAGAAAAGGTTGCTTGCCTTTTTTTTTTTTTTTTTTTTTCCATAAAGCGAGTAACTGAGGTGTTGAACAGGCATTAACTGAAGATAACAGGGAATATCCAAGAACCCGTGGCCTTCATAGAACTTTCCTGAAATGTCAAACTCTTGTGCATCATTTTACTTTCTAAACCACCATTTTCTTTCATGAAAGTGTTTTATTTTTAATCAAAGATATTTTAATCAGTACCTTTATAAAATGCACCTTGATCTCATTTGGGATGTTAGGAGATATTCTTTCTTCTTTCTTTCTTTCTTTCTTTCTTTCTTTCTTTCTTTCTTTCTTTCTTTCTTTCTTTCTTTCTTTCTTTCTCTCTCTTCTTCTCTTCTTCTTCTTCTTCTTCTTCTTCTTCTTCTTCCTTCTTTCTTCCTTCTTCCTCCTCCTCCTCCTCCTCCTTCTTCTTCTTCTCCTCCTCCTCCTCGTCCTCCTCCTCCTTTTTTTTTTTTTTTTTTGAGACAGGATCTCACTCTGTCACCCAGGCTAGAATGTAGTGGCACAATCACTGTTCACTGCAGCCTCAACCTCCTGGGCTCAAGCCATTCTCCTGCCTCAGCCTCCTGAACAGCTGGGACTACAGGCATGTGCCACCCTGCCTGGCTAACTTTTGTTTTTGCAGAGACAGGGCTTCATCATGTTGCCCAAGCTGGTCGTGAACTCCTGGGCTCAAGCGATCTACCTGCCTTGGCCTTCCAAAGTGCTGGGACTACAAGCATGAGCCACTGTGCCCAGCTAGATATTCTTTCTTGAGCTTATTTTCATAGGAAAATGTACTCTTAAACCTAGAACCATGTTGTGCCTATTTGGGGTCAGGAATGAATCCAATCTTAAAGACATCTATCATTCCACAAGGATAGAGTGAAATCTGGGCCTCGGGGTCCAGGCACTGTGTCCAGCTCAGAGGGCTAAATCCACCTCTTCTCTCCTTTTTGATTTAGTTTGTGTATACTAGGGTTAACATTATTTCTTCTCCTCTGGGATATTTAGGTTTACCATTCAGATAGGCATCCTTATCATGAAGAAGGTGAAAGGACCAGAGAGAAGTTTAGGAGTCTTTCCCCCAATGAAGGGTCTTTTAGTCTGAAACCATCATGAATTTGGTTCTTATTTTGCAGGGAAGGGATGTGTGAGGAGAGTGTGGTATAGACCAGACCCTCAGGACAAAGCCCCAGTCCTCTTTGAACCTTCCTTTTATTTGTTCTTTCATTTGACAAAGACTTATGGGGCTCTCTGCTAGACCTTCTCCCTCCTCCTTTCATCTTGAATCCACTGGCAACCTGCACTGATTCAACTTCCCAAAACATCTCCTCAATCATCCCCTCTTCTTATTGCCACAACTCTTAAGCCAATCCTTTATGACCCCTCCCCTGGATGATCTTCATAATCTTCTGTGTGGTCTCTCTGCTACCAGTCTCTCCGTGCCAAAATACGATAAGATATGAGAGTTGATCTTGAATATTCTAAGATCTCTTCCAGCTGTAAACCCACGCCAGGAGGAGGTGGAAGAGCCACTCGTGGTGCTGGTGTCCACATTTCAACCACTAGATGGCGAGCTTCCCCTCCAGGTACTTTTAGTGGCCTCAGCCCTCTCTGAAGGCAGGGCTCTTGGTGAGCCACCCGGCTCTTAGCACAGAGATCTCTGCAGTCATTCCCAGCCATTCTGCCCAACCATCTGTGCAGAACCATCTCCTGCAGCTGTGCAGGTTATTAACTGTGCAGGGGCACCCAGATCAGGAGAAGAATGGCAGCTAAGATACAGCTCATGCTGCTGTCGCCAATCTGTGCACCCTGGCATGAGACTACCGCTGGCCAGAAGGAGAGATGCCTTTTTCCTAGTTGGAAAAAAGGTGCTGTGTGGAACCATGGCAGCTCTGCAAACAACCCCTCTCCCACTGGCCTATATACGTGCCCACTGCAGGAGGCAATCTGGAACAGTGGCCCAGAGGTGAAAGGCACGGGCTTTGTGGTCTGGGACATCAGGTCTGTGGTATTTTAGTCTTCCCCTTGGCCCCTGAGAGCACCTAGGGAGAGTTCGTGGCCATCTTGGTGTGCCTCAGAAGTTAGCTGAGCCTGGCTCTCAGAGGAGCAATGCTGGGGCCTGTGCAGGGCTGGAGTTCGGTGCCTGGAGCATGAAGGAGGCTGGCCTGGGAGCTGGAATCTCTGGGTTCTAACTGTGGCCCCACCAGTGATACTTGATAAATTGTCCCCTCCCTCCTTGCTGTAGCTTGGATTTCCCCTATGCCAACGGACAGTTCCCTGCTGGCCCCTCTCCCCAGAGGGATTAGTATCCTGTTAAAGGGGTAGGGGGGAAACTAGTGAGTTAAACTCAGTGAGAGCTGACACATTCCTAGAGGAAACAGGAAGAATGGGGTTGTTTACCTGGGATGCCAGTCCCGGCCCAGTCTGTGGGAGGAGGAGACTGCTTTGTTGCTGTGGAAAGGGGAGGAGATTTGGCTGCAGACCTGAGTGAAAGGGGAGGGACAAAGGAACAGACAAATAAAATCCAGGCTATTTGAAAGACATGTGCTACAACTTTGGCACCATGATCACTGTCCCGACCCCCTGCCACCTGAGCAGGTTCCTCCACCCATCTCAAGTCCCATGGAGAGGCCCTTCTAGCACTGCCAGGCATTGCCACATATAGGTGGAGGCAAATCAGATACAGGGATAAACAGACATGTAAACAGCAGTCCCCAAACCAGTCCTTCCACCTGCCCGCCTGTCTGGAGAGGTGCAGAGGCTAAGGAGGGTCAAGAGGATCTACTCTGGGATCTGATTACCAGAGCGGAAGAAACCCAGGAAGGGAAGGGATGCAGGGTGGCTGCTGAGAAGTCAAGCTGGGGCTGAGGATTTTGGCTTTCCCTGCAGGAGAAGCAGCTGGGATGGCTACAGAGGCCCAAGCAAATCTGTGAGGATGCCAGACCAAGCAGATACGACCATGCAGCTCTAAAGGGCAGTGGGCCTTAGCCAGAGGCATGTGGCTAACCAGGACGTTTTATACTTGGGAGGGAGGGCTGAGAAATGAGGGAAAGTCCAGGGCTGAGCCTCTGGAAACTCCCTTGGGCAGTATGGTTTTTTTTTTTTTTGAGACGGCAGTATGTATTATACCTGCTTCTCCATCCTCCCTGGGAAAATTGCACATGAAGGGCTCTGCCTGGTTGGTGGCTCACTCTCCCAGCAGGAGTGGGGCCATCAAACCGCCAAAGCAGACAATGGGGTTGGTTACCCCAACTGCTTATCACTCAACAGCGCCTTGGGGTGTCTGTGTTCCCTAGGCTGTTCTGGGTCACAATGTACAGCATCTGCTGATGTTGACCTTTATGCTTTTCAGTCTAAAAAGTCAGGGCTTCATTGTTCATTATTAAAATACATGGGCAAGAAATCTCTTACAAGGAATCCTGAACTGGGAGTTGAGAGGCTTGGGTACTAATGGCAATTCTGACATGGCAGTTGAAATGGATACAGCCTTTTCACATGCATTATTTCAAGTGACTCTCAATAATCTCATGAGGCAGAGCCTTGCTATTATCCCATTTTTACAGAAGAGGAAATGGAGGCTCAGAGAGGTTCAGTAAGTTTCCCAAAAACACACAGTGAGTAAGTGACTTTTTGAAAAACCAATAAATTTTTCTGACTCCAAATTTGGAAGTGTCTTTCCACCACTGCATCATACACTGACCTAGCTGGTTATATGCCTGGGTCATTTTCATGTCACTCTCCAGTCTTCTGAAAACAAATTAAACTGTTACCTTCCCTTTTCCATTCAAGGAGTATGATGTTTATTGTTTAACCAAAATAAACACTTAAAAATTCAAGTAGGGGCCGGGCGTGGTGGCTCAAGCCTATACTCCCAGCACTTTGGGAGGCCGAGACGGGCGGATCACGAGGTCAGGAGATCGAGACCATCCTGGCTAACACGGTGAAACCCCATCTCTACTAAAAAAATACAAAAAACTAGCCGAGCGTGGTGGCGGGCGCCTGTAGTCCCAGCTACTTGGGAGGCTGAGGCAGGAGAATGGTGTAAACCCGGGAGGTGGAGCTTACAGTGAGCTGAGATCCAGCCACTGCACTCCAGCCTGGGCGACAGAGCGAGACTCCATCTCAAAAAAAAAAAAAAAAAAAAAATTCAAATAGGGTCTCATTCATCACCATAGTATTCTGAGGTGCCTTGGAAACTAAGCATAATGACTCATTTATGCACGAGCTAAGGGCAGAAGGCAGAGTTGCATTTTGTTTGGATTCTGGATTTCCAAAGCCTCTACCTGGGACTTGCCACAGGAGAGAGTTTATGCTTCCTCAATCACTTTTTTTTTTTTTTCGGAGACAGAGTCTCTTTCTGTCGCCCAGGCTGGAGGGCAGTGGTGCAATCTCGGCTCACTGCAACCTCTGCCTCCCAGGTTCAGGTGATTCTCTTGCCTCAGCCTCCAGAGTAGCTGGGATTACAGGCTTGCACCACCACACCCGGCTAATTTTTGTATTTTTAGAGGAGACAGTTTTACCATGTTGGCCAGGCTGGTCTCAAACTTCTGGCCTCAAGTGATCTGCCCACCTCCTCCTCCCAACATGCTGAGATTACAGGCATGAGCCACCGTGCCCGGCCAACCCTCCATCACTTTTGACCCTAGCTGGTGGAGATGGGAGTGGGACAGGCAGCACAGTGTGATGGCCAAGAGTATGGGTCTCAGCTAAACGGTTCTGGAACTTCCCAGTAGGTCACCAGAGGCATAATAGGACTACCTACTGCACAAGGTTATTTTGAGGAATGTCAGAAAAATTACTCAGCAGAGCTCCTGGCACATCATGCTCAAGAAATGTTAGCTATTTATTAATAGTTCAATCTATATTCTCTTGGCCAGGGAGGAGTTCTCTGGTTGTAATTTCCCTGCCAAAGAAAACCTGAACACCCTTTCTACAACCTGTGGGTGGCACTGCTGCTCTCTCCAAATAGAATCACAGCCAGGCTTCCAGGCAGCAAGTCCGAATCTGTGTCCAGGAGAGATTTCCAAGGAATTGGGACTTGTCAGTACTGCATTTCCCAGGGCGCTTCCCCTCCCTGTACAGCACAGCTCTCCTCCACGCCTGCACCTTCCGTCTCCACTCACCACGAAATTGAGGAGGTGGGCCAGACCACCCAAGAGGAGGCTGGGAAGGGGAAGCAGAGAAGGAGACTAAGCCTGCAGGAGCATTGCCAGGGTCCCTTCCTCAGACTCTGGGGTGGATAAGTAAGTCTTAATAGCAGATGGGTGACTGACTAATGCATGCTCTCCAATTAGGCCCCCTCACCCAGCAAAAAGCAGCAGCAGCAGCAGCAGCACTTGACTGGACTCGGTCTATGTGGAAAACCTCAGGGTTCTTACCTTGTTGCCCAGGCTGGGTCTGAGATAGCAGGAACTGGGATACAGACTGTAAGTGGCCGGGAACCAGCACAAGCTGCTGGAGCGGATGGAGGGAAGCCATGTCCTGCACGTGGAGAGATACACATACATCACAGAATTTACAAGCTGGGGACATCAGCCCCATCTGCCTGCCACACATCTGTCCCAGGAGTCTCCAGACTTGGAGACTGTGCAGGCTGACCTTGCTTTATGCCACTGTGTATCCCCAGTGTCTAGCAAATAGTAGGTACTCCATTAATGCTGGTATTGTTACAGCTTCTGCCCTCAGCCTGGAAGTCCTTACGACATATTGTTACTTAACCCTTACCTCCTAAGTTAATTTTTATATGTGTCAGTCCTGTCTCTCAACTAGACTGTAAAATGCCCTGAAGGCAAAGCCTGGGTATGACCCATCTCTCAGAGTTTATCCTAGAGATAACATGCAATCCCCAACAGTCCAATTCTTTTTTAATCTCATGCCACTTGATTATGCTAAAAGCCATGCCTCAGCTGTTTCCTGGGCCTGAATCTTTCCTGGAGGGTGTCCGGGTGGGAGCTGTGAGGTGGAACAAGCTATTCATTCTTAATAAAACCCATTTAGTTAAACAAAAAGTCCAGGGTTTCTCCTACCAGCCCAGGACATAGGACTAATAATTCTGATGCTTGGGGGATCGGGGAGTTCTCTGCAATGGAGACTCCGAGCTCTGTGCCCCATGGGGTTGAGCTTAGGTCTGTGCACAGAGAGAAGACCTGAGACGCCTTGCTGAATGGAAGGTGAAGGGACGGATCCACATTCTTATGTGTTTCCAGAAAGGAGTGGTTCTTTCTCCCCCAGGTGATTCCTGCTGACAAGAGGTCTCATCACATGAACGCCCTCCCGGACCTTGGCTGTTACTAGCTCAGACGCCTCTTTCTTCCCCCACCAGCAATCCATTCTAGTTTGGCTCTAACATAAAACCTTAGGGGAGGCAGAGTGGGCCCACTCTGCCTAACCCAGCAGCAGCTGTCCACCTAGGATTCCCCTGGATGTGGCTGGCAGACACCAGCAGCACGGCTGTTAGGTCCTTGGCTTTGGCAAGCCTGGCTCCTTTTTGTCCCCGAGAAGTAGAGGCCTGCTTCTTCACATCCCTAGCCAGGCTCCACCTGTAAGAGGACTGTTTTAGAGCCCCACTCACAGCCTCCAAATCTCTTTCCCACATTGCCTGCAGGGGGTTCTTTAGACTGATACGGGTTCACAGAGTACCAAGCATGGAAGTCGAACATTTCCCAGAGGAACTGAGTTAAACACACTGGCCCACTGTGAATATCAGGGTTACCTGACATGGGCTGGCATTTACCCCAGACATTTGGTTTCCGGACATCATGGCAGGTCCTTGACTCAGGTGGCATGGCCGATGGGAGAGGGTCTGCTGCAGGGAGTCACTGAGATCTTCGGTTTTAATCTGCAAGTGGAAGGAAGAGGAGAGTCAGTGCTGGATCCCATCAGGCACTTGGAGATGGAAACGGCAGGAAGATCCAGGCAGGAAAGGAGTGACCAGCTAGAGAGGAGAGAGCTAGCCCAGGGCCTACTGCACTGCAGCTTACTTTTCCTGCCTGTGTGTGCCCTTCCAGCCAGGGCAGCTGGGCAGAGGCCTCTGTGAGTGGCCCTGAAATGACAAAAACAATGACAGTGTAGTGACTTTCAAAAATAGGGCTCGATGTAGGAATTTGAGACCAGCCTGGGCAGCATAGCAAGACTTCATCTCTAAACTAAAAAAAAAAAAAAAAAAAAAATTAACCAGGCATGGTGTTACATGCCTATAGTCCCAGCTAGTTGGGAGGCTGAGATGGGAGGATCATTCGAGCCCAGGAGTTTGAGGCTGCAGTGAGCTATGATCATGCCACGGCATTCCAGCCTGGGTGACATAGTGAGACCCTGTCTCTTAAAAAAAAAATGGATTAAAATCTTAGAAATTCTGAGATGATATTCTTTTTTTCTTAGGAGGAAGAATGTTAAAATTTATTTAGGACAGAATAGTGATCCTAAACGGTATTCTTAAAACTCTTCACCTCACAGAGTAAAAAACTGGCAACCCTTTACTGATCTCCCCCAAATTCTGTATTTTATTTTCCTCAATGGAATCTCATCTATGAAACCCCAAAGTCTGGGCACCACTGATCTGGAGGAGTCTCCCTTCCCATCTCGTTTGTCTCCACACCTCTCCATCCTCTGTGTCTGCCTCTGCAGCTGACCCTCTTCACCTGTGTGGCTTTGGTGACAGTCTTTGCCTGTCTTCCTACAGGTGAAGGCGTGTCTCCCTCACAGCCAATGCTGTAGTTACAGCCTGAGGGGCCCGTGGTGGTTTCCAAACTCTCTGCAGTCTCTATCACCCTGCAATGACAGCACTAACCGCCCACGCGTGGGCTTCCCAGGTGTCCCAGGGCAGGGCAGGAAGTGCTGCTTCTGCCCACTCCTCCTCCCATCCCAGGAAAACTACCCTCCTGCAGCTTTTCAGGAAGTCCCCTGGGAGGGTGTCCACGTGACTTTAAATTCATATAATGTGACGGGGGCACAAGCTCTAGACCATACCTTGTAAGAGATATTGGGAAGACACTCCTCAGCGGACATCTGGTTGTTCCCTATCCAGATAGAAACTCTTGGCCCAGAGATGCTGGCTTAAACCGTTTCCTTGGTCTACACTGTGAATATCACTGACATCCTGGAATATCTTCTGTTTGTGTTGTTTAACCTAAGTTAAAAGTTCAGACTAACAGCTAAACTTGTGCTTAACCCTTTCAGGAAAAAAACGGTGCTTTGGATCACTAAAGAAATAATTCCTTATAAACAGCTCTATTATAAAGACACATGCGCATGTTATGTTCATCGCAACACTATTCACAATAACAAAGACATGAAATCAACATAAATGCCCGTCGATGATAGATTGGGTAAAGAAAATGTGGTATATATACACCATGGAATACTACGCAGCCATAAAAAAGAATGAGATAATGTCCTTTGCAGGAACGTGGATGGAGCTAGAGGCCATTATCCTTAGCAAACTAATGCAGGAACAGAAAGCCAGATACCACTTCTAAGTGTGAGCTAAATGATGAGAACACATGAACACATAGAGGGGAACAACACACACTGGGGCCTATTGGAGGGTAGAAGGTGAGAGGAGGGAGAGGATCAGGAAAAATAACTAATGGGTACTAAGCTTAACATGTGGGTGATGAAATAATCTGTACAACAAACTCCCATGATACAAGTTTACCTATATAACAAACCTGGACATATACCCCTGAACTTAAAATAAAAGTTAAATAAAATGAAAAAAGAATTCTCTTTGGTTGGACAATTAGAAAGATCCTACTGACATTAGAGACTGAGTAGGTAGCTAATGTCCTAAATATGGTGCCTCTCACATGGTGAAAACCCAATAAACATTAATTGAACAAAAGACATAAATAAAACCCATTTCTCTACAGCCTCCAATGAGGTACAGGGAAGAAAATGTTGAAGAGGCGCATTGAATGCTGACCTTGTTTCTAGCCCTAACTCTGACTCTAATTTACTATGTAATCTTCAGCCTCTATGGGACTCAGCCTCTATGGGACACAGTTTCCCCATCTACTGTATGATAGTCCAGGATTTTTCTCCCTATCTGTCAACAAATGGAATTACGAATTCCAATTCCCTAGTGCATTTGGTAGACCTGGCCCGTTGAGGTTGCTGCTGTGTTCTTAGATAAAGCAGACCTAAATAACACTGAGAAGCCCTGGTTGCACAGAAATTGGTAAGAAGATGGCTGTTTCAGGGACAGTCTTTGGAAATCATTCCTCTCACTTAAGGAGACTATTATGGAACTTTGGAAGCAAAGAGAAGGAAGGGGGAGAGATGGGAAATAACTGTGGGGGCAGAGGGTTAAACATTCAGAAAACTTAAATCACACGGCTGCCTGGGCGTTGTCTCTAAGAGCCCCACTTCTTTGCCCCATGCCCCTTCAGCTGTGCCCATCCACACTCGGAACCTCTAAGAAACTCTGGCGTCCTAGTTCTTCTCCCCAAAATTAGAGTTTCCACATCCTTAGATTCCAGGAAAACATGTGTTAGCAAGTTTTTAAAAACTAGAAATAGATGATAAACTACTTATTTCAAAATCACCACCACCACCACTACAACTTTAAGGTTTACTCTGAGAGGGGATTTTACTTAAGCCAGGCCTTTGTGGTCCCCACCTCTTCCCTGCATAACCTCCTCCTGCCCCCGGGCATCCGCCATCCCAGACGGTACTGGGGAGGCAGGATGGAGGAAGGGGGACAGAGGGAGAACGTGGAGCACTGGAGGTAAAATCAAGCTGGTGGAACAGCCTCTGGCAGCTTGGCCCAGTTCCATCTCGGAGGCAAGTGGCAGGGCTCCTCTGTAGACTCATTATGCACAAGGGAGAGATAAGGAGAGGCAGCTATGACAGAGCTTGAAAACATGTGCTTTGCCTCCAACCTGGGCGCTATCTGTTAGAATCTGTGCCAGGTCTTCCTGCAACACTTAATTTCAGAAACCAGCGCCATCATAAAAGAAAACGCACCCTTTCATCTGCTTCCTGGATCAATTGCCCTTCAAACTCTTTGGGGGGCACTCCCGACCTCCCAGTTGTAAAAATGAAAGGTGTGATAGCAGAAAAGCCCTTTGGTGTTAGTTCGGGGCTTTCTGACAATCTCTCTGCATTATTTTTTTTTTAATTTTTTATTTTTATTTTTATTTTTTTTTGAGACAGAGTCTCGCTCTGTTGCCCAGGCTGGAGTACAGTGGCATGATCTCAGCTCACTGCAACCTCCTTCTCCCGGGTTCACGCCATTCTCCTGCCTCAGCCTCCCAAGTAGCTGGGACTACAGATGCCCACCACCACACCCGGCTAATTTTTGGTATTTTTAGTTGAGGCGGGGTTTCACCGTGTTAGCCAGGATAGTCTCGAACTCCTGACCTCGTGATCTGCCCACCTCGGCCTCCCAAAGTGCTGGGATTACAGGCGTGAGCCACCGCGCCTGGCCACATTATTTTTTTCTGATTTGTTTGACCGACCTTTTACTCTTTTCTAATTTTTATTTATTTATTTTTATTTATCTTCTTTACAGTTCCTTTGGATATGGAATATTTTATTTTTCATAATTCATTACCCTCTGGGTGTGAAGAGCTGATAGTAACCCCAAAAGAAGACAATCCTAAAGAAACCAAATTGAAAGACAACAAAGGACACTGCTTTCTTGATGACAAGTTCTCAAATCTCAGCTTTGATCAGTGGTCTCTATTAGCTGAGCTCAACAGGAAGGAGGAAGGGTACGTTGACAATTCCCATGGCCTCCAACTGACATCTTTGACATTCTCAGGGATTCAGAAATGAAGAAATTAAGAAATAAAGTCTTCTTGAATTTACAAAAATCCCTTTTTACAGCTGTTAAGGGGAAAAGGTTGGAACCTTTCCAGGCAACTGGGTGTTGGCTGTGGATCTGGAAGATGAGATAGAGAGACTTCTGTTGGATCCCATTGACTTCTAATGTGAGAACCGGAGGCAAATTGGACGAAAACCCAATTTCCCCCGTGCTTGTGAAAACCCAACCAAACCCACAGCCTGCCTGGAACCAAGAAGATCATCTCCAGGGTCTCTTTGGCAGTTCTTCTCACGCAAGTGGCGGGTTTCTCCAGACTTTTCTTGGGACGGATGCATCCCTGGAGACGCGGGCCACCGCAGGGTGCTCTGCCCTGCCACAGCCACTGAGCAGCCTGTCCAGCTATTGGACAAGCTTTGTTGTTTAGGATCTTCTCCACCCACTGTGCTGTGCAAAGGTATTACACTGAGTTTTAGGCAGTGATCAGGGAGGTAAAAAGGTATTAGGGATGATTATCTTTTCTGATCCCAGTGAACTCTCTGACATCACTTAATTTAGAAAGCAGTAGTCTCATTCTGGAAGGAGAGAGCCCCTTCCAAGGAGGTGGAAGCCCTTTCTACAGCCCTCCTTGGCTTTACCGTCATAGCCGGGAGGTGTGAGGAGAAGTGTTCACCCTTCCATCTCACAGAAGCTCAGAGACCTTCAGAGACGGGTATAAACTCATATAGCAATATCCTGGCAAAACTCTGACAAGAGAGTGGTCTCCTGACCATCCTCTGGTGCTTTATCTACCAAAAAATATTATACACATCCCAAGGGTAGGAGAGAGAATAGATCATCGGTGATGGAAAAGGTGGCGTTCTGGCCCAGACGTACACTGGGACCTCCTTACTGACCATCTGTTTTAGGTTCATGGGATGGGGCATGGTGGGGCTGGGGTACTCACCTTTAACCCCCTCCCCATGACACTTTCACATGGCCCTCTCTGGGGGAAGACAGCTCAACACTAATGAATATATCACTGGTGATGAAAATGATCAAAGCTGTTGTCCCAGTTGCATAACTCGTTTGTGGAA